ATATTCAAACAATCGGGATGTGGCAGTAGCTTTGGTGTGATTTAGGTATAATGTGATTATCCACAGCTCCATGCTATATGTAAGGACAGTTACTAACACCGAGGAGGCTTTGTACATATCCAAAGCCTTTAAGGATCCAAGAGTGTGGCACACCCAAAAAAGTCTTTACGGTAATCTATCTAAGCTCTGCTTAGATTTCTACCTTTTTTCCTGCAATTTTCCAGGATCATTTTATTCATTAGTAGTTGATCTTCGACATCCCTTTTGTTCCAGGGAAAGAATGTTGTTTTCATCGAGAAAAAAATACATAAATTTCGCCAGGACAGACGTGATAAATTTATATGTGGCGGACAGAGATATTGTTGGCCTATAATTTTTTGGATCGTCTGTTTCATTCGTTTTTGGTAGGAGATATGTAATACCTTCAGTGATCCATTCTGGAATTTCCCTGGGGTTATTAATTAGCATTGATAATGTTCGGGCAAGGGTTTTATGGATTGATGCCAGTTGATAGAGCCAAAAGTTGGGTACCTTTTCATTTCCTAGGGATTTCTATTTTCGGGTATTTTGTTAGAGCTTGCCAAACATTATTCATGGTTATATTTTTCGATTCTTACAATGGTTTATCCTTCACTTGTGCTGGTTTTTCCTTCATTATTATTATTATTATTATTATTTTTTATTATTATTATTATTATTATTATTATTATTTCCTTGATGGCACAACTATATACTCCTGTCTTAATGGTTAATTTTAACGCATCCAAAACAAAACTACTTTCTAGCAATCATCTGAGAAACCCCTTTCTGCCTTCCATCACTATGGCTGATGCTAACCTCCAGGAAAGTGACTCGTTGCGCCATATCGGGCTAAGGTTCTCTGCAGACATGAAATGGAAAGATTATATTGAATTAATTGCTAGGTCTGCTGCTAGGAAAGTTGGTTCTCTGTGTGGTGTTAGACAATTTTTCTCGCCAGACTCTATCTTACGTATTTATATGTCTACCATTCGACTATGCTTAGAATATTGCTGCCTCATATGGTCTCATGCCCCTGTTATTTACCTTGAGCTCTTTGATAAGATCCAAACAATCAGCAATATTATTGGTAGTCTCATTTCCAGTCACTTTCCCATAGCAGTAAGGTTGTCTTTTCTATATTTACTGGGGTTTCTGCTATGAATAAACTAAGAATGACAAGACAACTACCTTAGAAAGACAAGTCATCTGGAAAGTCAAGACACCTGGAAAGACAAGACACCTGGAAAGTCAAGACACCTGGAAAGACAAGACATCTGGAAAGACAAGTCACCTGGAAAGACAAGACATCTACCCTCAATCAAATATCAGACTCTCGCGTTCATTAGTATTATGGTCCGGTTCCTTGTACGACGGTGATAGTCCAAGGTAGAACCAATAAAAGAACTCGAATACGGATATGGAATAACACAGATATATTACAAACAGGAATATATACAGAGAAGTTGAAAGTGTTAGTACGAACAATCAGGTTTAGTAGTAATTGTCTGAACGCGACTCTGTTTCGGACTGCCTCTGACTCGACTGACTGACTCGCTCGCTCTGACTGACTGACTGACTGACGGACTCCTGACGGACCTCACTTCAGACTGCAGACTGAACAATATTTAGTCACCCCCACCCACGAAGGCAGAGAGTTCAACCGATCAGCTAGTCAGCCGGTTGTCCGACTTCGGACTGAACGGTATTTAGTAACCCCCCCCCCCACGAGGGCATCATGTTGCACAAGGCTGGTTTAACGTGGGCTCGGCCAAAAAGATGTCCTTTGAACCCGTATAAACGGGTTCAGGGTCGGTTTACCTCACCGAAAGAGACTCCGCCCTTTGGCGTAGCCTCGTTCGGGTTCCTCCCCACCCGAAAGCAGAGAGTTCAACCGATCAGCCGGTCAGCCGGTCGCCCGACTTCGGGCTGAACTCCCTGCTTCCTCTTGAGGCGCAGTATTTATTACGTACGGAATAGTCCATTATGTTATTATGGGTAAGGTCCCATAACAATTAGCCTTCCCAATCTCTGTACGCATACGAAGTCGAGACCCTAACAGCAGAATTACAGCGAAGAGTCCAAGCATTAGAGATGGGATGTTGCAGAATGTTAGACATCGACTAGGGAGAATATCGTAAATGCAAGTAGTGTGACATACCCTCAGACAAGAAGCAGGTTGTCTGGAAGGCTTCATAGCCACCACCATGAAGAGAAAGTTGAAATGGTATGATCAAGCCATAATAGCCAATAATATTTCCAGTGCCATTCTACAAGGTACCGCGAGATGTAAAAGAAAGAGAGAGAGAGAGAGAAAAGAAATGAACTGACAACGTCACTGAGTGGATTGGAAAAATGTCATTCACAGACTCTGAGATTGGCACGCAACGGCCAAGAAATCAATGGGCATGTATCTGTAACCAAAGCAATCCTTAAAATTGGCGGACATCGGCTGTGGGTTAAGTTGGAGAGGGATGGATTCCGCCAGGTCTATTTGCCCTAAAACACGGTGCGTATGAATAAATCCCTCTTCAGCTTTCAACCCCGGTGTTCAACCGCGCAGCGACCCTATGACCACACTCGGTCATGGGACTAATGATGATGATTATGATATTTTAAAAATCAATTTTAGTTACTATCATTATTTTGTTTATCTATCTAAGGAGCCATCGCAATTTAAGAGTTTCTTTAATGCAAGGTTACTCGGAAGGACATACTGCGGCATTTAAATCCCTTAAGGTCATTCTATCGCAAATCAACCAACGGCCACAGATGATCCCCTTGTAAAAATCTAGGAAAATTTACAAATAAAGCAACCTTCTCGTTTAGTTTCTATCCACGAACTGAAAAATGACTGCCGCTTGGTCACTGTATGGAGTGACGTCACGGAGTGGTCGTCATGTAACCCACGTCGCTTATCGCCCCAAAGGGGAGATAAGCGCCTTCTGTATCCTTACACCTATTTCTAGACGTTTTGGTATAGAGCCAAAATACCCGAAAATAGAAATCCACAGGAAATGAAAAGGTACCCAACTTTTGGCTCTATCAACTGTCATCAATCTATAAAACCCTTGCCCGAACATTATCAATGCTAATTAATAAATCCAGTGAAATTACAGAATGGATCACTGAGGTATTACATATCTCCTACCAAAAACGAATGAAACAGATGATCCAAAAAATTATAGGCCAACAACATGTCTGTCCGCCATATATAACACCTGTAAATTTTCCTAGATTTCACGTTTATTGGTAAATCCCAGAAATTGGATTTGTAGCTTTAGTAGATTTAAAATTAGACGATCCTGGAATTTCACTGCAGTTTTTGCATTTTTCTAAATAAGGTTTCAACGAAGTTCTGATATTCCTAACTCAAAGAATATTGCATGGGAAACTTGATGATAACAGTTAATAGTCACTGTAGATTATAAAGATAAAAACAGCTTAAGAGTATGTACCTTTATTTATATAGATAATGGTCGGTATGCAAAATGCAAACAGACGCTGCCCATTTTGAGAGTTTTTGTTGACAAAGTATGTCAGGTACAGCATCCAAATTAGTATTCCAGTCATGTATTACCTAATAAATTATTTCTGTGTAGTAACCATATTCAGGACATTATAGTAATGTCAGTATTACTGTTTGAAAACGATGAACTACACCCCGTCAGCAGGGCCTCTGATCGGAAAGTTGTAAGTTTTGAGGAGCGTGGAACCAGCCCTTCATTGCTGTTGTTTCCAGGTTCACCCTGACCCGGAGTAGTATGACCTGTTAGGCTCCCTGCAAATAGTGGACCCTCAAACAAAAAGAAATCATTATGAAAGTATAAAAATAGATTTTTATAGTAAAAATACCAGCATTACATTTTATATAATAAAATTATCACCAATACATATTTATGGTAAAATTACCTACATTTCATCAGCCAAAATGTCTTTCATGACATTAATCCATATAATATCCTACAATGTCTTAAATCAAACTGTATTCCAAAATATAACTTCAACAAAACTACAACATAAAACACACATATCACTGTCTGTAGTAATGTTCACACAAACATATATATGAATAAAAGATGAATATCATCTAGTATGTAGTCGATTGAAGCAACCTTCTCGTTTAGTTTCTATCCACGAACTCAAAAAATGACTGCCGTTTGGTCACTGTATGGAGTGACGTCACGGAGTGGCCGTCATGTAACCCACGTAACTTATCGACCCAAAAGGGAGATAAGCGCCTTCTGTATCCTTACATCTATCTCTAGGTATCATTTCTATGCAAATGAACTATTTTACCAATATTTCAAATAGTCTAGTTAACTAAGCCAATAAATTAAATCAAGGACATTAGAATTTCACTAGATTATTTTAATTTTCAAAACACCAAGGCAAAATAGTGAAAATACATCACAATTTCTTCATGTTAAATATGTGTTTTCGGATGGTCTACAAAATCGTTAACTAAGCCAATAAATTAAACCAAGGACATTAGAATTTCACTAGATTATTTTAATTTTCAAATCACCAAGGCAAAATAGTGAAAATACATCATAATTTCTTCATGTTAAATATGTGTTTTCGGGTGGTCTACAAAATCGTTAACTAAGCCAAGAAATTAAACCAAGGACATTAGAATTCCACTAGATTATTTTAATTTTCAAAACACCAAGGTGGAAATACATCAGAATTTCTTCATATTAAACAACTTTCCCAGATTTTTCCGTGTTTGAGCTGGAATAACCACTTGGCATTCCTTATTTTTAGTTTATAATTAAGAAAATTAATTTAGAGATAAAATAACATTTCCATCTGAACTTCATCAAATGATGAAATGGAATATATCGTCTTATTAAAGGAATATTGATGTATGAATCGGATAAGAACAAACGGGATTTAAATAGAATAATTGGACGTACACATATATAAGTTTATTCATTTTTCTATCCTTATTCAGACCCTTTCTTTATTTCTTAATATTTATGTATATTTTCCCCATTTGTATTTCTTCTTCTAGCCCAGAAAGCCGACTTGTTTTCCGCTTCCACGACTTCACACACTTCCTGATCAGTTTCTTCTCTTTACCGTAAGTTCTCTTCTTCTCCTCCTCCTCTTTCCTTTTCTTTCCTTTTTCTCCTTAGCCTCCTCCTCTTTCTCGCTCTCTTACTTTCGTTTCTTCTTCGATCACCAACAAGCTCTTCCTCCTCACCTACTAAATTTTTCACCCGACCCCCATCCCCACTCCTAATAACTGCCACCGTCACTACTACGTATCATTTCCGCTTCCGGGATTTTCAACAATTTGCAACGGCTTCGTCACAAGCATTTTTATCACTTCCAGTATCATCAGGGAAAGAACAAAACGTTCGTTCCTTTTTTTTTTTAAAGATTTTTTTTCATGCAGTATTGTTCGTTCATGCAGATATCGTCTTTTCCTTCCTGTTATAATAATATCGACACGTTTAAATACATACATACATACATATATGTGCGTGTGTGTGTATAAGTATATGAAATACATACGAAAGTATATGACATTATTGAATATATAGATACATGCTAGAAAAACAAAAATCTCTATCTGTTCAAACACATTCGTATTTATTACTGTCTCTCTGCCTGCCTCTCTTTAAATCTATCTATCTATCTATGTCTCTTTATATATATATATATATATATATATATATATATATATATATATATATATATATAATGTGTGTGTGTCTTCTATTTTAATTTTACATACATATGAAACCAGTATCAAAAAATGTTCATATTCAATTTTGTGAAAGTGTGTGTTCGCTCGAATCTGTAGTTTTCAATTTTTATGGCAATTTAAAAAAAAAAATATGAGAAATAATTTTACCCCAAAAATGACGTGCTTTTCAGCTAAAAATGGTGACATTTGTTAAGAAAAATTAGCTTATTATTTTTTAATGTTTTATCCTCGTTAACTAGTATAAATATAGTCGGCCACTTATAATGAATTTATTTCACGACTTATACTAATTTAATTACACGAAACGTGAGTCATAAGGAATTTGTTGGATTTGTTTTGTCGATTTATTTGCTTAAAATCTTATACATTCTTATGGAGGATAACTCTGAAGACTTGTGGCAAAAGAGGAATATAATTATCTTTCTTGTTTTTATAAGCTTTTGTCACGGAATAGACTAAGATATTTATAATCCTTTCACTCCAAGCAGGGCAATAATGCCACGAGAACTCAGGGGGTTACAAGGAGAGAAATAGAATAGGAAGTGGGAGTGGGAAGGACTGAGGAAAGGACAAAAAAAAACGGAACAGGGTTCAAGAAGACAGAAGATGACGACTGACGTTACATTTAAATTTTTGAAGATTGTCTGTTGGAGGGGAGCTAGAAATTGTGTTTTCAACACTTTTCAAAGTGGGGGGAAAAGAAACTGTTAGAATAGAAGAGTCGGTTGCATTTGGCTAGTTCAACAGTAAAACAGTGGGACCTACTTGCCAATCGAGTAGAACGCTTAAATCCATATAGACGAGGTACGAAGGAACAATGTCCGTGAGAACAATTGAAAATATTTGTAGAAAAAGATCAGGATCGATTATATTACAGACGCTTCTTTGAATTTTGTCAAGAACATTGAGATATACAACAGAAGCACCAGACCAGATACGGCAGCGGTATTTAATGCACGGGGGATATTTAATCTCATCGTTTAGTTTTTAGTGACGATTTAGAAGGTGGTGTTCTGCAAGCTCTGCAACCAAAAGCGTTTGGTTGAAGTAATCTAGTGACTTGACCCAAACAGGTGTGAGTTCAATATCTGGCCATAGCAGAGGTGAACAAAAACACGAATAGTTGAGTTACTAAACGGAAATAACTGAAACTGAAGCTGAGATATCCACAAGAATGTGGAACTAGAACATTCTACCCCGGTGGATGAAATAAAAGGCTCAGTTCGAAATTTCCAAACACCTGAAGAAGGTCGGATCGTACAACGGTCGAAACGTTGTGAATATCACAACAAAAAAAAAACGAGGACAACAATCCGATATATATATATAAAACAAAGCATAATATTTTTTTCTAAATAAATCCACATTGCAAACAAAAACGTTTGCGGCACCTCTCTTCTCTTCTTTTTAATATACATACTTTTCTCTCGTTGGAACCACTACAATCTCTTTCTTTTATATATATATATATATAGGTAGTAATTTGTTGGTATAATCTGTAATCTGTTGGTATAATCCAAGCGAGTTCTAGTAACACAATATAGAAGTTTAAATATTAAATGTTAAAACTGAATCACAAAGAACGCTCAATGATTATTTTCATTAAACAGAGCAAAATATATAAAATATTCAATTGTATGAAATGTTTTTCTTTGTTTAATGAAAATGAACGTTGAGCGCTCTTTTAGAGTCAGTTTTAAGGTTAATATTTAATATATATATATATTCATATATATATATATATATATATATATATATATATATATATATATATATATAAACAACTTTTATTAAAATTTCGTCATGACGAAGCTTTAATAAAAGTGAAACCTGTTAGAGTATTTTACTTTATCATCCTGTCGGATTGCCATTCATATTTGATCTGCATTTGATCTTTAACTAATATATATATATATATATATATATATATATATATATATATACTTCATAAACATCTGCAAATATAGGTAGACCAACAGATGTTTTTAATTCGATAAACAGTTCGCTCATTTTTTAATATACATTCATGAACCTATACAAAAATATTTTGCGTTTAATATATTTCAATGAAAATTGTTATTTCTCTTGTAAGTTGCAAAACGAAATCCAGCACATCACATTCAGAGCAAAAGGATAAAAGAAAAAACATGTCATATCGAAGCAAATTTGAACGCTTCATTTCAAATTGAACTTCCTGTAAGAAAAAGAAATGTGTGAGCTTTTTTTTCTGGAGTCATATTTGTTCGACTATGCTTGCCACAACGCGCATGCGTAGATCATTTGTATTAGTTGAACGAGCATTTTAACAAGAGAAATATGCAAGACTTACTTAGAATTTCAACAATTAAAAAAATTTAATGAAGTAGTTTTTACGTATTTTCTCTTTCCAAAATGTCATGATTTATTATTTAAGAATACTAACATTATTATGTTGAGATCTATCTATCTATCTATCTATCTATCTATCTATCTATCTATCTATCTATCTATCTATCTATCAACTTACTTCTTTCTTTATTTTTGAGACTATTCCCTTTTCTTTTCTTTTCTTTCTTTCTTTCTTTCTTTCTTTCTTTCTTTCTTTCTTTCTTTTTCTTTCTATAGAGGTGCATCACTATTGTAGTGAGTAAATTGTTTTTGTCTATATGAAAAATTATGATAAATCTCTCTCTCTTTCTCTCTCTCTCTTTATATATATATAAACTTTATATTAAAATGACATATATATATATATATATATATATATATATATATATATATATATATATATATATATTCTCAAAGACAAAATCGCTAAAACCTTGGGTAAAACTGAGAGTTAAATTTACTTCTGATTTAATTTAGATTAAATAACCTCGATTTTTATTTGTTGTAATGCGCAAAAATGGTTTTTACTAAGTTTTTAGTATAACGTCTCACTTGCATGGATGAAACCTGCTTTTCAAATGCAATTTCAAAATTGACATATAGACCTACATCTTTCTTATCTAAACCTCATCTGTCCATGTTCAGCATACTGTATCACATTCAATTTCAAATAAAAGACCTTAATACAAATGGATTTCCCCCATTTTAAAATGTATTTATTAAACCAGTTCCAAACTGACTAGTTTGTAAAATGACGATATGGATTAGGTTAATCTTAACCAATTTTAAATGATCTCTCTTTCACTCTCTCTATCTGTATACTCCCTTTCTTCTCTCTCTCGTTCTCTTTCTGTTCAATTCTTAATTTGGTATCTACACTGATGACACAACCATTTACTCTTGGCTCGAGAGTATGTCTGATCATTTTGATAAGTTAAAATGGTAACTGATATACCCCCCTCCACCAAAAAAACCTTCAGTCTGTTTTTAAGTGGGGAAAAGGATGGCTTGTTTATTTTAACGCCTCAAAAACTAAACTGAATTAAAACAATAGGCATATCTACTCAGGTTCCAATGTTTATAATAATAAGAAATAATGTTCGATTCAAAAATCCATTAATCTCTCTCTCTCTCTCTCTCTCTCTCTCTCTATATATATATATATATATATATATATATATATATATATATATATATATATATATATCGTGGCTGTCCTCTCGGTTTCGAGCGTGACCACCTCCTTTATTTCATGTCCTCACCCCCTTCCCACTCCCCTCAAAAGAAAGCATAACAAAAAAAAAAACAAAAAAAAAAAACGAAAAACACGAAAAAGGTCAAGGAGGTACCTTTGCGTGAGTTTATTTATAGTGAATTGAGCTTGCACTGCACTCAATCCACTTTTCGCGTGTGGTATAGGTTTTCCAATGGCATATAAATGAGACGATTGGTCTATACCAAACACTCAGGTTTGATATTTGGACCTTAATACAAAATGGATATATATACCATATATATATATATATATATATATATATATATATATATATATATATATATATATATATATATATCCTTCTCCTAGATGGATTACCAAAACAGTGGCTAAGGAGTCCCCATCTACCCCGGTGAGTTCACTATTTGCCCATAGCTGGGACCCTAATAGGTGCTACCACCCCGGGTCAGGGTGGACCTGGGAACACCAGCAATTAAGAGGTGGTTCCATGCTTCCTCAGAACCTCTTGATCAGAGGCCTTGCTGTTGGACGTAGTTTATCATCTTTACCCAAGACAAACAAATTATCGATTTGGTCTAAATCTGGGGATTGACTTGGCCATTTCAGGATATTTACATTATTTTTAGATTTCTTCATAGATTTTGCAGTGTGCTTAGGATCATTATCTTGTTGGAAGATCCAATCAGGAGGAAGTTCAAGATTTTCAACTGAAATCATTAAATTTTCTTCAAAAAATATTTTGATATACTGGGGCATTCATTCTACCATCTATTACTGATATGTTACCTTACCTTTTAGGACATATATATATATATATATATATATATATATATATATATATATATATATATATATATATATATATATATATATATATATCCGTAAGGTCAAGGTTGACAGCGATACTTTATTTTGATCTTGTATAAATTATATTTTCCGCATGAGTAATCTGAATTTTTTTCCTACGAAATGAACAAAAAAAAAAAAAAAATGTAACACCCCAAGCTGACAAGAAATGATAAACGCGCTTATTAATTCTCATTATCTCAAATCCTAATCTTTGCTCAATATCGCATCTTAAGCAGGTGGCAACGATAGTTCTTTTTGAGTAATACAAAACAGATGATTCTGAATGACATTTGAACGATTTCAAGCCAGATTTAGGAACCCAGATAAAATAGCAAATGAGTGCAATACTGTCAACTTTTTTTTTAATCAAACAAAGACAGCGATATCTGAGATGAGGTATTGTAACTATTTGCACTATTTGCATTGTTCAGACTATCAACTCTGTTGTCATATTCAAAACGTTTCCGAAGTTGATCGTGATTGGCTTATAAAGATCTAAGGAGTTCTTTAGTCGCAGTGGATTAGGATCGGGTTCCATTATGAGAAGAATTGGAGTTGACGGGTGGCTTGCAAGTCAATATCTAATCAATATAAATTGAGCCACCGTTGAGAAGGGGTAAGATGTAAAACACACGAAACCCCTAATGATCCACGGACAAAAGCATGATCACTGAGGATGTGTACGAGAGCACCTGGGAAATGTATTTCCCAAGATGGAGTTGCCATAGCCTCCTTGGAAGCATGGTGTGTTTTTCGGTTGTCTTCTTTACAGCTGGCCATTTTCGTTCTCTTCTCGGCTGGCCATCATTCAAGAGATCCAAGTCTACGCTTCTAGTTAAACCTATAAGCGAGAGAAGAAGAGATAGGCTTAAGTCTTGTCCAAGGGGATTTTTATAAAGTAAACGCAACAGATTAGGCTGGAATTTGAACTCAGCACGCCGATTCCAATTTCCCCGCCAATAATCCGCACGTTAGCCGAATATATAGTTTAATGATAACTCCCAAATTACAGACAGCTAACTGAACAGTTCTTCATTTTGTGTAAATAACGGAGGCTACGCTACCTTGCAAACACGTCAATGAAATACATAAATGGAATATTGTTCTGTCTACGTTGGATCAAACGATAACTGTAAGAAATTCAAATATATGCAAAATTGCTTTGATTCATCATATAGACCTCATTACAAATAAACAACGATCATGTACGGGCTATCAGCCTGCCGAGATCAACTTCTGACCGGATCTGTTCGTCCACTGGGTATAATGCCCTTGGAAAAGGCAAGAATATATTATCCTTAAACCACGGGTTAGAGAGTGGAGAAGACTCTTGATCGAGAAATCAATCTAGAACTATGATTCTGAATTCAAAATCAGCCTTAAGAGGGATGGGCTCCGTCAGGTTATTTTGCCCTAGACGCACCCAGAACAGCGACAGTACATGTGGTACAAAACGACCCTAATGGGATACGAGACTCGTGATTCTGAAATAAGCAAGCAAAAGAGAGAGAGAGAGAAAAAAAAGAAAAAAAAAAAATGAAATACGATTTTAAAATCTAAATAGAATTTTATTTATGTGGGTGAGCGTGTGCGAATTAACTTTCATTCCAAACCTGTTTCTTCATATATATATATATATATATATATATATATATATATATATATATATATATATATATTATAAATTAATTGATTTAAAATATGGTTATTTTCGCTACACAGTTCCAACCATAATATTAATGCTCTGTAAATTTACATTGAGCACTATTTTGTAAAAAATAAAATATCTATAAGAACACCGGATTTTATATCTTACTGTTCTTTCTTTTATATATATATATATATATATATATATATATATATATATATATATATATAATATCGCACATTGAATGTTGATGTTGATAAAATAGTGCTCGATGCAATATAACAGAGCTATAAATTATGTATTAATAAATATACATTTTTTCCTTTTTCAAGTGTATATATATATATATATATATATATATATATATATATACAGAGGTTTGAAGCAACATAAACTATATATAGATTTGAAAATGCGCGAAAGTAGTCTTCTTTAACGATCCTTCTCAGCCAAAACTTCGTCAGAAGAATACGTTTTATATATAAGCATATTTTTTGTTCCCCGTTGTTTTTATTGATAAATTTGTAGGGTTCATTTTTTTCCTTATATTTAGGTCAATTTAATATTTGCCAACGTATTCTTTTGACGTAGTGTTGGTTGAAAATGATCAATAAAGAAGAATGCTTGCCTGTATTTTCAAATCTATCTATCTATCTATCTATCTATCTATCTATCTCTCTCTCTCTCTCTATATATATATATATATATATATATATATATATATAGATAGATAGATAGATAGATAGATAGATAGATAGAGGGAGACAGATGTGAACGTGGTCTCACATGTTATCGTTATGAAAGCTAATTTTAGCGTCAAGTGACAGATCTGACGCAAACACAAATTGAAAATTTTATTTTCTATTAATATTCCTTTTTTATGTAAAGTGCATCCAAGATTTGTAATCTGTTTTTTTTTTCTTTTTTTTTTGTTTTGGTTATAGTGGCAAAGAATTATTTTATTGCGAACGAGAAACGTGCGGAAATTAGTTGGGATGACGTGAATTTGTGTTATATCTTTGCGTATTTCATTTTAAAAGGATAAGCTTTTAGAATATGTCCAAGACATTAATTTCATTTCCGTGTGAAACGAAATTATGTGTTCACGCCCTCCCCCTATTGGAAGGCACTGCGAACATTTGTTGCATTCGACGCGCGTGCACACACACACACACACACACACACACACACACACACACACACACACACACACACACACACACACACATATATATATATATATATATATATATATATATATTTAAACAGAAGTTTGACACGACGGAACTTATGTATACATTTGAAAACGCAGGAAAGCATTCTTCTTTAAGGATCCATTTCAACAGACACTTCGTCAGAAAAATACGTTGGTAAATATTAAATTGACAGAATAACAATTCTCGCTTCAGGAAAAGAAAAAGATAAGGTGGAGAAGAAAGGAACCGCGTCTAAAATACAAATTTATTAATAAAAACGAAGTGAAAATATCCTGGCAAAGAGACA